TTTTTATTGCTTGAATAATATTGTAAGAGTTTGTTAAATCTTCTATTAAATGTTTTAAAAGTTTGTTTGGTTTTATTTATTTTGAGCTTGTTTCCATACTCAAACAGATTCATTACAAATTACCACGTTGACTGCGTTATGCAGTTTTGAAGACCCCACGACTTTTTTTTATTGCTTATATGGGTGGACGAGCTCACAGCCCACCTGGTGCTAAGTGGTTACTGGAGCCCATAGACATCTACAACGTTAATGCGCCATCCACCTCGAGATATAAGTTCTGAGGTCTCAAGTATAGTTACAACGGTTGGCCCGCCCTTCAAACCGAAACGGATTACTGCTTCACGGCAGAGATAGGCAGGATGGTCGTACCTACCCGCGCGTACTCGAGAGGTCCTACCACCAGTAATTACGCAAATTATAATTTTGCGGGGTTCATTTTTATTACACGTTATTTCTTCACCGTGAAAGTCAATCGTGAACATTTGTTGAGTACATATTTCATTAGAAAAATTGGTACCCGCCTGAGATTCGAATACCGGTGCATCGCTCAACACGAATGCACCGGACTCCTATGATGCGGCAGTTACACCCGCGTTCATTCGCTCGGTACGGGAGGCGACTACGTCAAGACTTCTATGGTTGTGGGTGGGTTCTTTGTGATGTAATACCTATCAGGTCTCACTGTCACTCTGTAATTAAGTCCCAATCTTGCCTCGAAAAGATCTCATGTCCATTGGTACTAAGTCTTTCGAAAATGTACCAGGCAGCATTTTAGCTGTTCCCCTGTGCAATGATGACTGACGTACACAAGGAGGCGGTGAGTGACCACTGAACGTCTGGATGTCTGCTGAGGACAATTTAAACGAATTGTCATAATTGAGTCGTCTATTATCATAGGTGGCAATCTGTGCATTTGGACAAAAAAATGTTATTGATATGTCAATACAGATTGATTTGAATATAATCGTCTCCTTCAAAGAATACGGTTCAAAACCTGCATTAAATAAAGGTTAATACTTAACCTGTTATTTATCTAAGATGTCGTTCCGAAGAGTTTTGTGACTGCCAATGGAATACAAAGTCAATAATTCGTTTTTCTGATTTACCAATAATTGTCCAAAAGTCAGATTGCCGGCTTTGATAATAGTCGACTCATTTATAATATATTTTATTGGTGGAGAAGAACAGTTATGACTCGGTACCCGGCAAGTAAATCTGGGCACCTGACCGATAGCAGTCCCGAGACTGGCACTAAAGTTGACATTGAACAAGTGATCGGCAAACCGCGGCTCTTCCGCGAAATGTTCCCATATTTAGTTGTGAAATAATAATGTATCTTATTAAAGCAAAGCATAAGTTAAAACAATTGCTTTTTAAACAAATTCTAATACTGTATTACCTATACCACAGACCCAGAAACAATAGAGGTCCTATATGTAGCATCAACATGTCCGGTTCAACAAACAGACCCGGCCACTGGTACCTACCACGAGGACATTGTCTGTTTCCCAAAAAAAAAATTTTTTTTATTGCTTAGGTGGGTGTCCACCCATCTAAGCTGTGAGCTCGTCCGAGCTTACGGCCGACCTGGAGTTAAGTGCTTACCGGAGCTCCTAGACATTAACAGCGTAAATACGCCACCCACCTGTAGATATGAGTTCTAAGGTCTCAGTATAGTTACAATGGCTGCACCGCCCTTCAAACCGAAAGGCGTTACTGCTTCACGGCAGAAATAGGCAGGGTGGTGGTACCTACCCGGCGGACTCACAATATGCAGGCTCCCTCACTGCGCCTAACAATGTCTATTTTATTCGAAGAACTAAACCAACGAAGTTTGTCTCAATAAGATTGATTCCGTCTCATGTGAACTAATTTTTCCTTTCTTTGTGAAATACCGGAGNCGGAGACATTTACGTATATTCATGTTTCATTTTATGTACGCACTGAAATACTGTTATATTGTTTTCCTGCGAGTTAAAGTGGTGAGTAAGAACGAGATAGATATATGTTTATGTATGTGCCTTCAAAATGGGTGCTATTTATATAAGCAATTGTACGTATAGAACAATATGTCGTGTCCCTACTATATAGGTCTATGGTAGTTTCCCTACCTTTCACTTGAAACTGGCATAAAGTTAAAACTATTGCCATAAAGGAAAAAAAAAAAAAAAAGTAGTAGTAGTTTTATTTTTCCCAATGGAAAGGCAAAGGTATTATTACACCATACAGCCTAATCTTTAATACATATTTTTTATGAAATATGATATTATGAAATGAAATGAAGCTGATTAATTTAATATGAAACATGGCATGGCATGAAATGAATTGAAATGAGATGATATGATATGGGATATTTATATGAAAAATGATAATATGGAGTGAAATGAAATGAGGAATTTGAGACATCAATCAACTGGGATGCAATTAAATGAAATGAGATGATAAATGTGATAAATGATATGGGATGAAATATAATCTTAGTAAAATGGTGGTCATTTACTAAGATTTTTTCAGTGGACTTTTTGGAGGATCCCGAGAAGTTACGTCCAACGGCTTTGTTTCATTTTCCCACATTTGTACAATTTCACAGATACTTAACAGTTAATAAACCACCATTATTACACATTTAAACCTGAAGAAACACTAAATAGACAAAATAAAACAAATTGCACAACTTGACACCTCGCGTTCCCGCCAAAAAGTCGTAGTAATCCAATTTCAATTTGTTTGTCATAGAAATGGTCTAAAAGTTGTGCCGTATTTTTTAAAGGGATTTTATAACCTAGGAACTGAGACCTTTAAGTCATGTCTTATTTTAATTTATATTTATATTTTTATGAAAAATGATATTATGGAGTGAAATGAAATGAAGATGATTAATTTGAGACATTAATCAACTGGGATGAAATTAGATGAAATGAAATGAGATGATATGGGATGAAATAAAATCTTAGTAAAATGGTGGTCATTTACTAAGATTTTTTCTGTGGACTTTTTGGAGGATCCCGAGAAGTTACGTCTTGCGGCTTTGTTTCATTTTCCCACATTTGTGCAATTTTACAGATATTAAACAGTTCATAAACCACCATTATTAAACATTTAAACCTGAAGAAACACTAATTATACCAAATAAAACAAATCACACAACTTCACTCCTCGCGTTCCCGCCAAAAAGTCCAGTTGTACTGTATTTAGTTGCTATAACCATAGATTATACACTTAATATTGGCTATATCTATTAAAACCTATTTAAATGGCTGACCGTGAGAAAAATTAAGGAAGCGCTTGTACAAAATATAAAAAGTTTCATTAAATTGTGTTGCGTTTTCTTTATAACAGAACCCACTGCCTGTTACATTACCGATATAATACCTCATTAAAAGAATTCACTCAGAATTGGCTTGTTAATCATAAATGTTACACCCAGTACGACAATGATATCGCAAAAAGCTCTTGCCATACTGAAAAAAACACAAGTATATATCAAAATATCGGTACCTACCTAAAACAAACAAGTTTAAATCAGTGTTTCTACTTTTAGGGATTTCGCCTTTTTTAGAGCAAAATTATGATTCATGTACAACTTATGGCTTGCTTTAAAAATGTAAACTGAATTTAGGGTATTTTACAAATTCTTTATTAGGTAACTATTTATTATATGCTCAAAAGTATTGCTTTATCTTCTTGAGGGAATTCCCCAAATTAGTTAGGATTAAATTCCAACAAATTTTATTTTACTGTTTGGATAGTATTATCAACATTTTTTGTAAAAGGCAATATACATTAATAATGATTTATATAACTATATTTGTTTTCGTTCGTTAAATATTCTCCCGGCATTGAAATTATAGCAAAGAGCTAATTTTATTACGCGAAATTGATTGTTTTTTTCGTAAGATTTATGACGTAAATAAAGGTATATTTACACATGACCCCTAAGAGAACGTAATCATTGAAACAATTCCAAGATTAACAAGTTCCGAACAACAACATTTGGACCGTCGATCTACCGAGCAGTATCACTCGTTCGGAGGAGGATCTTCCTTTCGTCGCAAACCTACAAACTAGTGACCCACGACTACGAATACCCCGGAGAAACATATGTCGGAATCCAGAGAATTGAACACGGCGCGTTCACAAGCTCGTCGTAAACCTACAGCTGTCACTTCAAGCTTAGATCGGCAGGAGACGGGTACGATACGATACCTTGATTATTTTTTTCAGAGGCCTTTTTTTAGGAGCCCTCTAATACAAATGATTCCTTATTATATTATCATAATGACCCATTCACTCAAGCATATTTACGTTTCATGAGTTATAACTTCACAGGATACATGAACAAACGAGTATAACACTTCTGACGTGAGAACGTCTTTTAATTCGATGGAACCGAACGAAAAAACATGACTCATTGAGGCGTTCCATTTAAGGCTTGAAGTGCAAGCGAGAGCGCAAGGAGCGTCAAAGAGGCACAGGCCTCCGCGTTCGGCAGCGTCAACATCTGTCTCTCTCCAACTTGAGTGAACGATGCATCCGCGTGGACAGCTGCTATACAATAATATATTTACATGTTTTCATCAAGTATGAAGTTGAGTCAATTGTCCATACAAAATATCTATCAAACAAATAAAATTAAAATTTTCTTTTCAAAATTGAAACCATTCCATGAGTATTTTCTTATGACGTTATCACGTTCAACTATCGTCAGTAAACCGACTTTACAGACAACCGATTTTTTTAACAATAAAAATCAACTCAACATATTTCATCGCATATCATCTCATCTCATTTTATTTCCGTTTCATTTCATTTTATGCCATGTTTCATATTAATCAACTTCGACTCATTTCATAATATGATTTTTATTTATAAAAGTTTTCATAAAATTAAAATCAGACTTGACTTAAAGGACTTAGTTACCAAGTCAAAAAAGTGTCGAAGATTCACGAAGCTTTGGCGTTTGGCGTCAATGGCGTCCCTCGCCCATTTCCTGTTTGGAAGGCCGTTGGTGTATAACAGAAACGAGAGGATATTATCCAAACATATCAGGCTTCAGCTATCATGAAGACTTGGAGTTTATATGCGTTGGTGAGTCTAATATAATCGAAATTTTTATTAATTGCCGGAAGCTACACCTGCTTCATAGGTAAGCCGTTATGGCTTGTCCCAATTGAATTGGGGTACCTATTAGTTTCGCTCTTGCTCATGCATAGCTTGTTGCTAATTTGCTTCTGCTCTGCATTATCTCTCTATCTATCTCTGCTAATATTTGTAGGCATTGCTCTGCATTAAGTATAGCAAACAAATATTAGTAAATGCGGACGTGTCTACCACGTGCACATAAACTTAACCATGAAGGAGTGACATCGTGTAACAAGAAGAAACTCGACATTTTGGTTGAGTTCGAACAGTGAAGTACCACCATTTTTACCGTTTTTGTAGTATAGTACAACTGGATCATAATTGGTTGAGATTTCAACTTGGTCTCAAAACATGGATAGTTGTGTTTATGTTGCGATGTCCATGGGTTCCAATACCTATTTATAGCCAGATGAGCCCCACTAGCTTTGGGAAGACACGGAGCAGTACAACCAGTAGTGTTGTGACAAGGAGACTACTTCTTGAGCCAAACATAGTTCTAAATTAAATATGAATCAATGACTTGGTGTCTTGACTGAAAACTTTGAACAAAATCAAATTGAAAAACTCCTAGAAATCTTGATTAAATTTTTTATACGAATTTCATATCCGCAACAATCAGACCAGGTGGTATACCGAGCAAAAGCATCATTGTTTTCTACTACCAGTATACTGCTCACTTCACACCAGATCAGGAGCAGTGCACATCCACAACCCAACACATGAAGCCAACATTAGCACTTTCAAAATAAACTAAGTATTGCAGTTCATTATCCGGTAGCACATATCTTCAATATTAAATCTCAACATTAGACATTGATTGACATTCTTCACACTTCCACTACTGCATTGGTAACGTGGCAGCTCTGTATTACTACTGACATTATTTTTTTGGACCACACGCTTCACTAAAACTTCATTAAACTCATGAAGCACACTACTCTATAAAACTAAGCATTTATTTGTTACAAGTGCAAGGGAAGCTGTTGGGTCATGTTTTGTTTTAAATAAATTATTTATGACTATTTAAAATCGTCAATTCTTATTCTGTTGATAGATTTAAATAAATGCTTTTGTAAGATTCAGTTATGACAAAACCCTCCCCAAACAGAGTGAAATAATTACACTATACAATTGACATCAGTTATCATTTTTTTAGCTGAATGTCCATAACTATTGACAATATTATTGTGGCTATGTTGTAGTATTTATGGGTTAGGGTACCACCAAACACTGATTAGGCTTTACATGACGATTTGTAAATCAGTTTTTTTTGTCAAAGGTACAAATGTGCTATTTTCATGCAATTCCCTATATTAGTGCTAAAATAACTAGCTTCTTGCAACCAGACAGGATAGTTAATAGATACTATAATATATGGTAATAAAGAGATGCATATATAATACAGCTTAGGCTTTTCTTTTCAGTATCCAGACCCTACGTGCCACAGAAATTGGGCTGACTGATAGAAATAATTGTAAAAGAATTTCTTTTATTCCAGGTCACCCCATGCACAATTTCCTATCGATGTCAAGCCATCCTTAGAAGCAGGCATCGATACATCAGAAAAAGGCTTCCTTTGCATCAACCCTGGGACAAATGAGCTGACTTTTGTCGTGAGCCACAACTTTAGGCTGACTCCACTCGAAGAGGGACTGTGTGACACAGAGACACATCAAGTAATTTTAGAAACAATTTATCTAGAATTTCATTTGCTAAACCACCCTTTGTGAAAAGAATTAAGAGGGTTTTCAAACTACTGAGTGATGATCAGTTGTAAGCAACATTGTATATGGAAACTGATACTACACCAATGAGTGAACGTTTGATGGCAGTTTACAAAAAACTTCAATATATTTTATTTTATTATACACATACAACTATAGCATTGCCTGCCATTGGGAGCTGTCAAGTAAGACAATTCATATTCCATCCACATTCTATTAAAACCTTAGATAAAGGAGTCTACTGTATGATATTGTTTATAGGGAGGGGTCTTGTGAGGCTCATTCATTACTGACAGCAAAACAGTTAATTAGTGCCCTTGATGTAGACATTACAGCTAAGGTATCAGATATTTTGAAAGCTATTTATTTAATATGATGATGAAGACTGGAAAACTATATAGAATTATTTAAAAAAATATTGTTAAATATTATGGATACCATTACATTAAAGAAACTGACTTTTATGTAAAATTTCAACCTGTGTTCCAAGATTTAAAATGCTTTAATTTTTAGTGTCTGTTAAATGTTGAACAATGTCATATTTATTCAGAATAAAATAATTAGTCGGGAATATTATCAAATCTAATCATGTATTGGAGAAACAATTTAAGCCCACTAATAAGGTTCAGGTATATTATAAGGGGTGAAAAAATATCGGAATAGATAGGAATATTTCATGGCACATGTGAGTGAACAAGACAATGTTAACAGCTATTCATGTTTTCACAACATCACACAAGCGTACGCACGCGCACGCGCACGCACACACACACACGCACACACACACACGCGCGCGCGCGCACACACACACACACCCACCATCAATATTATTTTCATAAAATGTTTAGATGTAAAATTCTCAAGGGTTTTTCAGAAGTATTTTCCATATATTGTGTTTCTACTGTTGCACACATTTAAAATAAAATAAAAATTATTGCTCGCTAGTAGTATCCATGACTTTATCCATTTAAACTCCAGTTATCGTTTATAACTGCATTCTACAATAATTGAGAGCTCTTCTAATTGAGAGAATCTAAATCTTTAAACCTCGTTCAGAGACGCCAATATTCTTGAAATTGCCTGGTGTTTAATTGTTCTTCTTTTTTAATCGGAGTTTCGTTGGAATAACGATCGTAAGCCCGGGTTGCCGTCGTGCTACCACTTATGCGGTTTCTGAGCACGGAGGAGTCGGCTGTCGCATGGTCGCCGAGATGTTTAATGCAACGTGGGCCCGCGTGGCAATTACGCGACGAGTGCCCGTAAAGCTGACGTCGGTGGCACTGCCCGGGAGAGCCACGTTTATAAGGGGGCTTCGACCATTACCCCAGATAGGCCGCAAATGGTGCGGAGACTTGAGGCAATCCGTTTGCCTTCCGCGGTGTATGGAATGGAATGGCATACACCATATTGTATGGAAACTTGTCGCGACCGCTGTGCACCCGATGCACACTTATTATCGGGTATACTTGCCTGATGAGGTCGTCCTTGACTAGCTCGGTATCGAGCTCCTTGGTTACTCCGTGTATTACTACGCGGAGTTCGCGTTCCTCCTGGAACGCATGTGTGATAGCTTAGGCGCTCCTTTCGGAGGTGGGCTGTCCGCGCCCTTTGGTCGTCCTGTGTGGCCACCTTAATTTGTGTTCTGTGCGCGATGCTACGCGCATGGACGAAGTTCACGTTTTGTGCCTTGTAAGGCACTGGATACGCGATCCCACGCGGTCCTATCTTGTAGGATGACCGGCGGCAGCGCGGCAATTTTGCGGACGGGTGCGGGCTTGGGGGCGTGGCGATGGGGTTGCGCGGCGGGGGTAGTCGGGCGTGACTACGATCTCACTCCGCCCAAACAATTAAATTGAATTGTTGCGGACGATTCCACAGCGCGGGCGCGTTTCTTGCCGCGCGCGACGGTAGTGAACCCGTCCGAGGTTCTGGGTTGCGGACTCGCGGCGGACTCTTACTCCATTTCAGACCCGGTGTCGGAGCCGGAGTTAGCGGCCTCTGAGGACGCGATTGATACTGCGGGCGCAGGGGTGGGGGGGAAAGCGGCGACTTGGGGAGTACCGACGGGACCTTCGCGGCGGTGGCGAACCGGTGCGTGGGGGTTTGAACCTAGGCTGGCCTTGTAGGCCTCGAAACGGGACATTATGTCCGGGCAGAATTCCCGGACACATTTTGCGAACAGCGCGCTGTTCGCGTCACTCATTTTGGTGCCTGGGGGGGCGTCCCCGGGACTTAATGTAACTCGCCGAAAGGCGAGTCCCCTGAATGGGGTTTGACCCCCCTGCGCTGTACTTGTCAGCAGTGATTAGCAGAGGGGGGGGGTGCCTATGCCGTGAAAACGACAATCAGCTGGGATTGGGGTGGAATATGGAAAGGTAGGGCCCCGCTAGGTTGTGAGAATGCCACAACAAGCGGTGATCGCAGTGGGGTGTTAGTCTCGAAAGAGACTGTTTTTTAAAAAGAATAAATAAATAAAAATAATAATGACAATGAAATGGATGATAAAATGAAATGAAATTGTCGTTTTCGAGAGCAGGAAGACTAACGAACTCGAATTACGTTTTTCCGATTCAAGGTCGCGACGCCAGCGACAGTGCGTCAGGAATGCACAACAATGTCGCGATCGGTGCGACAACGACAATGTTGGACAACACGAAACACACGTTCGCGACGGCAGCGACAATTTTTTGCAAAAAAGCGTCCGGACTGAACGGCGATGCAATCGGAACTGGAGAGAATCTGTTTTTTTTTTCCTACCTAAGCTGAGAGGCTATTTCAGAGTAAATGCATTTAAGATGGTGGCCAACATCGTTATTAGTTGGGCTGGTAACAGTTTTAGCGCGCGGCTGCGGATGCCGTCGGAGCCGTAAGCTTTCCGTGGTTGTAGGCTATCGATCGCCTCCTTAACCTCGGAAGTGGTAATGGGGGGTAACGCGTCCGAGGGCGGCAGGGAAGCTCTGCGCTCGACCTCCCTGTCGACTAGCTCGGTGTGTTCGTGGTCCGCGTGTTAAGTGCTGGTGGTGCACTGCTCTTGCAGTGCATCGGCCAGCAACTCTGCCTTGTCATCGTCATCGTAAGCCGGTGGTTGGCCTGAGGGGCGTACGAGAGGCGGCATAGTGGCGATAGTTTCGGACTTGAGGGTCCTAGCTAGTCGCCAGTATGCTTGGTGAGTGGGCGCGAGCTCTTCTAAATAACTATCCCAGTTTTCGTTTCGGGCGTCGCTTAAGCGGGATTTGACCTCCCGCTGTAAGCGACGCATCCGAGTCCGGTTTGAATCCGTGGGATATCGATCGTAGGCCCGGATTTCCGCGTTTCTAACTCTTACGAGGTCCCTAAGATCGGGGGAAAGTCTGATGCGGTGGAAGCAGTCCTCCACATCGACTTGCTTTGAAGATCTTATGATCGCCGTCGAGACGTGATCAGTGAAGATGTTTACGGATTCGACGGTGTCCTCGGGGGATGGAGTTGAATCCGGGCCGCATGGGAGGATTGGTGGAGCGGTGTCAGCTAAGCACGTGCCCAGCTTCTTCCAATCCACCATGGTCCTCGTATCTGGTTCGCGGTTGAGTGGGCGACCGAGCTGTATGACGACAGGTCGGTGGTCTGAGTCGAGTTCTGACATTGCCTCGATGGAGCGTAAGCGCAGGGTTACGTTCCTCAGCAGTGCCAGATCTATTGTGCTCGGACGACGCGCGGCGTTGTACGGATAGCACGTGGGGGTCGGGGGGTTGAATATCTCGAATGTGAGGTCGTCTATGAACGCGTCGAGACGCCTACCGTTCACATTCGTGCGATGGCAGTTCCACCTAGTGTGGTGGCAATTTAGATCGCCTGCCAGAATGACCGCGTCCCCCATACCGAGCAGTGTCTCGAGGTCACTGCTCAGGAGGGGTTTGTCAGGGGGGAGATAAACGGATGCGATGACGATCGGCTGGTGTCCCGTCAGCGCGATGCGGCACACTGACGTCTCGATATGTAAGAGCGAGGGAGTATCGAGCGGGACGCAGTGCAGGGCCCTCCTATAGTAAATGACAGTCCCGCCCTTACGGGTGGAGAGTCTGTCATTCCTAACCATGACGTAATTCGCGACTTTGGGGTCGCGACGCGAGGGCTTTAGGAAGGTCTCCTGCACCAGAAGGATGTCGATGAGATTATCGCGGAGAAACTCATATACTTGATCGCGCTGACGCGCGAGTCCGTTAGCATTATAAAATGCTAACTTTAAGGAGCGCGGTTTTTCCCTACCGTTGCNCCGAAATGAGAATTGGGATAGTTACTTAGAAGAACTCGCGCCCACTCACCAAGCATACTGACGACAAGCTAGGACCCTCAAGTCCGAAACTATCGTCACTATGCCGCCTCTAGTACGCCTCTCAGGCCAACCACCGGCTTACGATGACGATGACAAGGCAGAGTTGCTGGCCGATGCACTGCAAGAGCAGTGCACCACCAGCACTCAATACGCGGACCCCGAACACACCGAGTTTGTCGACAGGGGGGAGATCAAGCGCAGAGCTTCCCCTGCCGCCCTCGGACGCGTTACCCCCCATTACCACTTCCGAGGTTAAGGAGGCGATCGCTAACCTGCAACCACGGAAAGCTCCCGGCTCCGACGACATTCGCAACCGCGCGCTAAAAATGTTACCAACCCAACTGATTACGATGTTGGCCACCATCTTAAATGCTGCTATGACGAACTGCATCTTTCCCGCGGCGTAGAAAGAAGCTGACGTTATCGGCATACACGAGCCGGGCAAACCGAAAAACGAAACCGCTAGGCACTCCTATGTTAAACAGTTGAACGCCTTCGCTATATCGAAGAAGAGGACTCCTGTATACACAATATACCGATAACGTCCGCTTCTTTCCACAACGCGGGAAAGATGCAGTGCGTCATAGCGGCATTTAAAATAGTAGTCAACATTGCTATCAGTTGGGCTGGTAAAAGTTTTAGCGCGCGATTGCGGATGCCGTCGGAGCCGGGAGCTTTCCGTGGTTGCAGGTTAGCGATCGCCTCCTTAACCTCGGAAGTGGTAATGGGGGGTAACGCGTCCGAGGGCGGCAGGGGGGAAGCTCTGCGCTCGACCTCCCTGTCGACGAACTCGGTGTGTTCGTGGTCCGCCTGTTGAGTGCTGGTGGTGCACTGCTCTTGCAGTGCATCGGCCAGCAACTCTGCCTTGTCATCGTCATCGTAAGCCGGTGGTTCGCCTGAGGGGCGTACTAGAGGCGACATAGTGACGATAGTTTCGGACTTGAGGGTCCTAGCTAGTCGCCAGTTTGCTTGGTGAGTGGGCGCGAGTTCTAAGTAACTACCAATTCTCATTTCGGGCGTCACTTAGGCGGGATTTAACCTCCCGCTGTAGTCGACGCATCCGAATCCGCTTTGAATCCGTGGGATATCGATCGTAGGCCTGGATTGCCGCGTTCCTGACTCTTAAGAGATCCCTAAGCTCGGGGGAAAGTCTGATGCGGTGGAAGCAGTCCTCCACATCGACTCCTTTGGAAGATCTTATGATCGCGGAAGAGATGTGATCCGTAATGATGTTTATGGATTCGACTATGTCCTCGGGGAATGTAGTTGAATCCGGGTCGCAGGGGAGGATTGGTGGAGCAGCATCAGCTAAGCACGTGCCCAGCTTCTTCCAATCCACCATGGTCCTCGTAACTGGTTCGCGGTTGAATGGGCGATCGAGCTGCATGACGACAGGTCGGTGGTCTGAGTCGAGTTCTGACATTGCTTCGATGGAACGCAAGCGCAGAGTTACGTTCCTAAGCAGTGCCAGGTCTATAGTGCTCGGTTGGAGCGTGATGTTATACGGATAACATGTTGTAGTTGGAGGGCCGACTATTTCGAAGTTAAGGTCGCCTATAAACGCGTCGAGACGCCTACCATTTAAATTTGTACGGTGGCAGTTCCACCTAGTGTGGTGGCAATTTAAATCGCCTGCCAGGATGACATTCTCCCATGCCGAACAGTGACTCGATTTCACTGCTCAGGAGGGGCTTGTCGGGAGGGAGATAAACGGATGCGATGACGATCGGCTGGTGTCCCGTCAGCGAGATACGGCACACTGACGCCCGATATGTAAGAGCGAGGGAGTATCGAGAGGGACAATGTGCAGAGCCCGCCTATAGTAAATGGCAGTCCCGCCTTTGGAGGTAGTGAGTCTGTCATTCCTAACCATGACGTAATTCGCGACTTTCGGGTCACGACGCGAGGGCTTCAGGCAGGTCTCCTGCACTAACAATATCTACAAGATTGTCGCGAAGGAATTCATAAATTTGTTCGCGTTGCCGCGCGAGTCCGTTAACATTGTAGAATGCTAACGTAAGGGAATGTGGTTTCTCTCTACCGTTTCACGCCATCGATTACCGGTAAGATTTATAAAGTACGGGCCACGGACTCGTAAACGTCCATGTACTCGAACGCGGCTGCGAGCCGCGAGCCGCTGTTCGGGGGTTACCGCCCTTCGAATCGCGTCTGCGAACGATCGCAGACGTTTGAGGTTGACCGTGGTAACGAAGTCGCGCACGAGCGCGAAGTCGTTGACAGCTGAGGGTTGCGGGGGACGGAACGCGGGCGCGGGGGGAGGTGTGAGCAGAGGCTGGGGCGCAGGGCGTGTCGCGAGCGGGGGCTGGGGTGCACTTAGTGTTCCCGACTTTGTATACGGCAGCGGTTTTTCCACGCCGAGACGGTGGGAACCGCAGCCGGTACGGTACGGAAGGCGGGTTTCGGTGCTGAAGGCGCCGAAGTCTAGGGGCTAACGGTTCGGGGGGCTGGGTGGTTCGGGCGTTTGCGCAGAGCCTTAGGGCATCCGCGGTAGTTTGCTGGGTGGGTGCCTTTGCTTATGGCATAAGACGCAGCTTGGGGGCTCGGTCGCGGTTTCCCTAACTCGCAAGCACTCTGTTGTTGCGTGATCGCCGAGGCATTTCACGCAGCGGGGACGCGCGTGGCAGTTACGCGCGGAGTGGCCATAAAGTTGGCACCTGTGGCACTGCCCGGGAGTGCCACGTCTATGGGGGCTTCGATGGTGACCCCGGATAGGCCGCAAACTGTCGAGAGATATGCGATCATCTTTTTGGCCTCCGGGGTTGATTCTAACGCGATAAGAATCATGTTGTTCGGCTGTTTGTCGCGTCCGCTGTGCATCCGGTGCACACTAACTATCGGGAGGGACTGAGCGGTCAGATCCTCATTGACGTACTCGATGTCGAGTTCCTTCGGGACTCCGCGTAGTAATACGCGGAACTCGCGGTCCTCCTGAAGAGCACAGGAATGGAAACCTATGTTCTCCTTTCGGAGGTAAGCGGAGAGGGCCCTATGGGCGCGGGGCCGGGACGGGGCGCGGGGCCGGGACGGGGCGCGTACCGGGGTTGGTGCCGATGGCTTACCTGCTATCATGAGCGGCAGCGGCTTAGCCCACGCGAAGGCGGTGGGCACCGGAGCCGGCACAAAAGCAGGTTTCGGCGCACGGGGCTCCGAAGTCTTTGGGCCAACGGTTTTGGGGGGGGCGCGTTGGCCAGGCGCTTCCGCGGTAGTTGGCCGTGTGACCCTGCTTCCGGCAAGATACACAGCTCGGTTGCTCGGTCGCGGTCTCCTTGACTCGCGGGTAGTCGACGGTCGCGTGGACTTCCAGACACTTAACGCATCGCGGTCTCGCATTGCAGTTCCGCGCGGAATGGCCGTACAGTTGACAGCGGTGGCACTGTCCGGGAGCGCCACTTTTGTAGGGGGCCTCTAACGTGACCCCCGATAGGCCGCACACGGTGCAGAGACATGAGGCAATTTTCTTGCCCTCCGGCGTGGGTTCAAGTGCGACGAGCACCATGTCGTACGTGAATTTATCGCGACCGTTGTGCATCCGGTGCACACTTATGATCTGGTAGGTCTGACCTACCAGGTCGCTCTTGATTTGCTAGACGTCGAGCTCTTTGGGCACTCCGCGTATTACGACGCGGAGTTCACGCTCCTCCTGGAGCGCATAGGTATGATACCTTATGCGTTCCTTACGGAGGTACGCGCTAACCGACCTGTGATCGTCGGGCGTGGCCACCTTGATCTGGATTCGATGCGGGATATTCCTCGCATGGACGACATTAATTTTATTGGCCTTAAGGGCCAGGGACACACGATCCGACGATGATTTTTCCCGAAGGATGACCGGCGGCGGCGCGGCGATTTTCCGAACGGGCGCGGGTTTAGGTCGCGGCGACGGGGTTGCGCGGCGAGGGGAGTCGGGGGAGACCACGACCTTGGGTCGCGACGCGTTCGCGGCCTTGAGTTGTTTCGGCGCCGTGGACGGTTCCACAGCGCGGGCGCGTTTCTTTCCGCGCGCGACGTTCGTGAACCCATCGGAGGTTCCGGGTTCTGGGCTCGCGGCGGACTCGAACTCCATTTCCGACTCGGTGTCGGAGCCGGAGCCGGCGGCCCCGGAGGACGCGATAGATACAGCGGGCGCGGGGGTGGGGGATGGAAAGCGGTGACTCTGGGATTGTCGCGGCGGCGGCGGACGATACGTCGGGGTTTGACCCTAAGCTGGCCTTGTAGGCCTCAAAACGGGACATAATGTCTGGGCAGATCTTTCGCACGAATTGCGGTACAGCGCGCTGTTTGCGTCGCTCATCCTTGGTTGTGTTCCGGGGGGGGGCGGGGGTGGGCGTCCTCGGGACTTAAGTCCCCCGAGTAGGAATTTACCCCCTGCGCTGTACCAGCCAGCAGTGATTTGCAGGGGGGGATGCCTATGCCGTGAAAACAGCAATCAGCTGGGATTGGGGTGGAAAGTTGGGAAGGTGGGGCCCCACTAGGTTGTGAGAAATGCCACAACAAGCGTTGATCGTAGTGGGGGTTTAGTCTCGAAAGAGATTGTTTTTGAAAGAATAAATAAATAAAAATAATAAATGACAATGAAAGTGAAATGAAATATGAGATTGGCGTTTTCGAATGCACAACAACGAACTCGAACTGCTTTTACGATTCAAGGTCGCGACAGTGCGTCAGGAATGCACAACAATGTTGCGATCGACGCGACAACGACAATGTCGTACAACCCAAAACACAAGATCGCGACGGCAGCTACAATTTCTCGCAAAAACGCGTCCGGACTAAATGGCGTTGCAATCGGAACTGGAGAATCTTCTGATTGAGGCAATTCCGTTTGCAACGCTGTCGAGTCCGGACGTGTTTTCTCGAAATATTGTCGCTGCCGTCATCGTGTGTTTTTGTTTACACGACATTGTCGCTCTCGCGTCGATCGCGATTTTGTTGTGAATTCCTGACGCACTGTCGCTGGCGTCGCGACTTTGAGTCGAAAAAACGCAATTCGTGTTCGTTTTAGTTTTGCATACGAAAACGCCAATTCATTTCATTTTTATCATCCACGCATTTTGTCATCTATGATTTTATTTACTTATATTTTTTTAAAAACAGTCGAAACTAACCCCCCACTGCGATCACCGCTTGTTGTGGCAATTCTCACAACCCAGTGGGGCCCCACCTTCCCAACTCTCCACCCCAATCCCAGCTGATTTCCGTTTTCACGGCATAGGCACTCCCCCCCTTGCTAGCTGGTACAGCGCAGGGGGTATAACTCCTACTCAGGGGACTCGCCTTTCGGCGAGTTGCTTTAAGTCCCGGGGACGCACCCCCGGGCACACAACCACCATGAGCGACGCAAACGGCGCGCTTTTCATAAAATTCATCCGCGACTTCTGTCCGGATACAATATCTCGATTCGAGGCCTACAAGGCCAGCCTAGACGCGCCGGCACTCCGCGACTCTCCGCTATCACCCCCCGCGCCGACACTCCGCGACTCGCCGCTGTCGCCCCCCACCCCCGCGCCCGCGGTATCTATCGCGTCCTCCGAGGCCTCCGGCTCCAACTCCGAGTCGGAAATGGAGTTCGAGTCGGCCGCAAGCCCGGAACCAGGAACCTCCGATGGGTTCACAACCGTTGTCGCGCGCGGTAAAAAACGCACCCGCGCCGTGGAGCCGTCCACGGCGCCGAAGCAGCCCAAGGCCGCGAACGTGTCGCGACCTAAAGTCGTAGTCTCCCCGACTCCCCTCGCCGCGCAACCCCGTCGCCGCGACCCCAACCCGCGCCCGTCCGCAAAATTCCCTCGCCGCCGCCGGTCATCCTTCGGGAAAAATCGTCGTGGGATCGCGTATCCTTGGCCCTTAAGGCCAATAAAATCAATGTCGTCCATGCGAGGAATATCCCGCATAGAATACAAATTAAAGTCGGAACATCCGACGACCATAGGTCGTTCACCTCATACCTCCGAAAGGAACGCATAGGATAACATACCTATGCGCTCCAGGAGGAGCGCGAACTCCGCGTCGTAGTACGCGGAGTGCCAAAAGAGCTCGACGTAGAGCAAATTAAGAACGACCTGGTAGGTCAGTCCTACCCCGTCATAAGTGTGCACCGGATGCACAGCGGGCGCGATAAATTCGCGTACGACATGGTGCTCGTAGCACTTGAACCCACACCGGAGGGCAAGAAAATTGCGTCATGTCTCCGCACCGTGTGCGGCCTATCGGGGGTCACCGTAGAGGGGCCCCCTACAAACGCGGCACTCCCGGGCAGTGCCACCGTTGTCAGCTGTACGGGCACTCAACACGTAACTGCAACGCGGCGCGTTGCGTTAAATGTCTTGGTGATCACGCGACCATCGACTGCTCGCGCGTAAAAGAAATAGCGACGGAGCCACCGAGCTGTGTACTCTGCCGTAAGCAGGGTCACACGGCCAATTACGGCGGACGCCCCAAGGCGCCGCGGAAGCGCCCGGCCAACGCGCCCCCCAAAACTGTCGGCCCAAAGACGTCGGCGCCCCGCGCGCCGAAACCGGCTTTCGTATCGGCTCCGGTGCCCACCGTCTCCGCGTGGGCAAAACCGTTGCCGTTCACGAAAGCAGGAACGCCACCGGCACCCCAACCTCGGTACGCGCCGCAACCACTACTCGCGCCGCGTCCCGCCCACGCGCCCGGTCCCGCCCCCGCGCCCGCCCCGGCCCCGCGCGCGCCCCCACAACTGACTTCGCAATCGTGCGCGACTATATCGCCGCGATAAACATCGACCGCATGCGTTCGTTCGCCGACGCCATGCGCATGGCGGTCACAGCCGAAGATAGGTTATACGCGACGTTCGATCATATGGACGTCATCGAGTCCGTTCAGCGCACGCTGGTCTTAATACCGGTAATCAATGGCATGCAAAGGTAGGGAAAAACCCCGTTCTTTGAAGTTAGCATTTTTGGGAAGTATGTGACTAGGGAAACAAACAACCGTTCTGAGCGCGTACTGGTTTAATACTGGTCACGTTCAGCATGGACAACAGTGTCATACATATCATTCCTCCACACTAATTTTGGAACCTGACAACAATAGAAATTAATTATAATCAATAATTCATACATATCATTCCTCCACACTAATTTTGGAACCTGACAACAATAGAAATTAATTATAATCAATAATAGAATTGCTTGTAATCAACTCTCTTCTTGCGACGTGTGAGCGGTGAGGAATAAGTTATGGACGAGGGTCCGGGCTGATGTGGATCAGAAACAGGTGAGGTACGCTTAGACGCGACTGGTGACGACAACGCCGGCGGTGGCGCCGGAGGCTCGGCTGAACTTCCAGGAACTAGGTTCTCCCGTTCAAGGTCAACTTCTTCGCAATCACCCCAGATCTCGTCAGTTGGCTGGACAATGTCACCAATATCGGTTACCACATTTTCTTGCTCGTTACGTCCGTCTCCACTTTCCATTCCCACAGCCTGTTGAGCTACAGAAGGCATAATCGAACCATCGCTATAATTTTAATAAGTTAATAGTAAAAATGCGAAATATCAATTTATGTGATGTAGTCTTTTTTACTAAACTCTCGTGCTAAATGGGGTGTGACGATGAGATGCAACACAGTTTGATGTTAGTTGTGATAAATTTATAAACATAATTATGTTATGGTAAAGAAAACTTGTTTTGCTAGCGCTTGATTTTACTACCAACTAACCTATCAATTATTCGTTCTGGTGCTTGAATAAGATCGATTGGACTAAACATATTAGTGTTGGAAATTGTTGTTGAATGCAGTGTCTTATATTTATTTATGAATAAAAAATGTCCATTCGAAGAACATTGTGATGATTAAAACATTAAATTAATTCATAAAAAAAATATATCAAATGTATGTATGACCTGTGACTGGTTTCCTTCAAATTACATACATTAACTTTTTCATATATAGTGAAATCGTAGATAAATAAGTAAGACAGGTCCGAAACGTAAACACAGTATTATTATTTCTATTAATTTTCTTGGTTGGTTTTTATTTTTGTGTTTGAATGTAAGAGTTTGTTACATTTTCTATTAAATGTTTTAAAAAGTTTATATATTTGGTTTTATTTATTTTGAGCTTGTTTCCTCACTCAGATTCATTACAAATTACCACGTTGACTGCGTTATGCGGTTTTAAAGACGACTTTTTTGAAGTGAAACTTCCTTATCGGCGTTGGAAAAAAATTTACCGTCACATTTTTCGGTTACGCGTCACATTTTTCCGTTACGCGCCATCTGTTTTGTATTCATGTCTATGATAATAAAATCCTTTTGTTTAAACTTTATCTAATTTAACTTTTTTGTATTCATGTCTATGATAATAAAATCCTTTTGTTTAAACTTTATCTAATTTAACTTTTTTGTATTCATGTCTATGATAATAAAATCCTTTTGTTTAAACTTTATCTAATTTAACTTTATTTAACCAATTTCTAGAAAGTTGCATGTAGATCATTTTTCGAAAAATAAGGCCATAAACAAGTTTCACTTCTTACGTGTGTACACTAGTACACGCACACATTTTTATTTTTTATTGCTTAGATGGGTGAACGAGCCACAGCCCACCTGGTGTTAAGTGGTTACTGGAGCCCAAAGACATCTACAACGTAAATGCGCCACCCACCTTGAGATATAAGTTCTTGGGTCTCAAGTATAGCTACAGCGGCTGGCCCACCCTTCAAACCGAAACGCATTAGGGACGAGCCACACCGGAATGGCAGCGCCCCTGGCGTCGCTGCTGGAGTTTTCGCGATTCCTCCAAACTGCACGCGCCTAGTCTCCTTTTGACTAGTTAAGTTTCTTCATTCGGCAATGGTCGTGTAATAAAACATGAAACCCGCAAAATTATAATTTGTGTAATTACTGGTGGTAGGACCCCTTGTGAGTCCGCGCGGGTAGGTACCACCGCCCTGCCAATTTCTGCCGTGAAGCAGTAATGTGTTTCGGTGTGAAGGATGGGGCAGCCGTTGTAACTATACTGAGACCTTAGAACTTATATCTCAAGGTGGGTGGCGCATTTACGTTGTGGATGTCTATGGGCTCCAGTAAGCACTTAACACCAGGTGGGCTGTGATCTTGTCTACCCATCTAAGCTATTGTGCAGGCAGGGTGGGTGGTGGTACCTACCCATGCGGACTCACAATATGCAGGCTCTCCCTCACTGCGCCTAACAATGTCTATTTTTTTTTTCGAAGAACTAAACGAACGAAGTTTGTCTCGATAAGATTGATTGTCTCTCAAGTGAACTAATTTTTCCTTTCTTTCTAAAATACCGTAGAGTGGAGCTATTTTGTAAGGTGACGGCTACTTGAGACACTGAGTGGTAGCAGTTTTGCCCAAGAAACTTTTTTTTCCCTACTCATGCCGATAGCCTTGAGAGGCTACATCAGCGTTACCCTAGCGTGTAGGTGAGCTCTCGGGGCTCAAACCGGAGGTGTGGCTAACATTGGCCCTAGCAAGAGCAGTGCTTCCCAGAATCTACCACCGTGTCGGAAACGCGACCCGCTCAGAAAATCCGGCGAGAAACTCAGTGGGCTGTGTCTGAGGGTTAATTTACTCGACGGGTTCGACGAGAACGGTGACCGGTGCTTAAGGTACCTAAAAGCACCGTTAGTGGATCGGGAGGATCCGAGATGACGTGTCGGACGACGTCGACTGCTTTCCATTCTGTCCGCAGGATCGGGAATGTAGTTACCGGCGGTCACGATGAGAGGGTTCTCGTGTCGTGCCGCTTTATCGAAGTGGGAGATAACTATAATAATTAAATAACACAACTGGTTAATATTACAGTTTATTCTCGACTAAAACTTAAAAAGTGAAAAGCAACGGAGCTTTCGGGCGCAGCCGCGTGTTATCGCACAATTTTGTTTAACTAATAAACTGTCCCTGCAGACGTTTTTAAATTGTTAAGTAGCAACTGAATCGATGTTCAATTCTAGAAAATTAACAATTGAGTTTTTTTGGTTTGATAAAACACATTTTATTTGGTGTCGTGGCTTGCAACCTCTTTGACAGGACATAAGACCTACACCGACTTACGAAATGAAACAAAGAGAGAAATGGAACGAGGGTGGACGTGACTAGCGGCAGGCAATGCTTTTAATGTCTTCCTAAAAGACGGACACGAACCAGACGACAAGGAACGAATTGACCGTTCTCATATGTACATAAAATAAACGACAAAAGAACGAACCGACCGTTCAGCAGAGTGCTTAGTGCGAGTTTTTTAACATTCTCGATAGCGCAAAAGTTAACCCTATTTGGTATGCAGTTGGAACAGCGCACCTAGCGGCAAACGTACTGTTATGCGGGGTCTCCCGATTAGGTTTTTAAAAAAGAATTTTGAAAGAGAGATTTCACTTTTATTAGTTGAATTACACAAACAATTAAATTATGGAAATTGCCAGAAAGGAGATATTGTTCAAGACCGCTCCCGATGAGTAACTAAATACGACTGAGTGACTCTCGGTCGGTAACTATTACCAAGAGATTTGTCACAATGCTTACTCAGCATCAGTGGTGGTTAAAAGAGATGTATCATTACTTTAACTTTTTTTTTATTGCTTAGATGGGTTGACGAGCTCACAGCCCACCTACTTGGTGTTAAGTGGTTACTGGAGCCCATAGACATCCACAACGTAAATGCGCCACCCACCTTGAGATATAAGTTCTAAGGTCTCAAGTAAGTTACAACGGCTGCCCCACCCTTCAAACCGAAACGCATTATTGCTTCATGGCAGAAATAGGCAGGGTGGTGGTACCCATCCGCGCGGACTCACAAGAGGTCCTACCACTAGCTAACATGGGAACTCGGTGACAGTACGAAAACGATCCCATTCCATACAAATATGAGTTAACTTTTACGCTATCGAGAACGTTAAAAAACTGAGTATTAGTATTCGTATAGTATGAGTATGAGTTTAAGTCTTCGATCATCAATAGTAACTATTGTTGATCGAAGGTTTAAGTATTCGAATCGGTCCCAAATCAGCCTGAGTTGACACATCTCTAAGTATGGTGCCTTGGTTCTCTAGCCCTAGTAAAAGCAGTGCTTGGAAGAGTACTAACGGATAGTCTCTGCGGCGGATATGTAATTAGCACATAACCGCCAAAAAACTCAAATATTAATAAGCATAGATATTAAAAACAAACCTGATACAAATAACATTATTACTCTGAATAAATATTGTTTTTTTTTTATTGCGAATCATGTTAGTGGCGCCACTAACATGATCAGACTATGTAAGAATAAAATTTGTTTGGGCTATTTAAATGTAATTTATGTAAAATAAATGACTTGGACTGATGTAAAATTCACATAAATATTTAATGTTAATAATTAGTTTCGTTTCATCAATTGTTTTGTAGTACCGTAAAATGGGGCGATTAGGGACAAATTCCAACTTTATGAGCAATTTTAAGGTAGTTGTTGATGTATATAGTGCTATATCAGGATCAAAATGATTGAGTCTTGGGAGCATCTTTGTTGTCTAATTTAAAATTATGCAACTAGCATTCCAGTTTAAGCAAAAAATGCAAAAATAGGTGTAATCCCTATTTACCCGAAAATTGCGGGTAATTGGGACGAAATGAGAAATTTGCTAGGGTTGGCACTACTATTATTTTTATATATAGATTTAATTAATTAATTTATTTAGTTGCACCAAGAAAGTGATCATCAATAAAAAAAATTGAAAAACTGACAAAAGTACATGGCAGACATCACCTCAAT